GTACCATCTTAGAAATTATACAGGTGACTGTAACAACAATAATTTCATCTTGGAGTTAAAGTATATGTTTTACAAGACATAATCATTCTAGGTCTTGAGTGGTGTACCATAGTATTCCAATTTAGTGCTCCCTCTGGCCTCTCAATAAGAGCTCCTTTCCTAGAAAGCGCCCCGTTGAATGTGTAGTTTTTAAATGAGCGCCTCTATTCCTAAAAGCACTCCCTGCCATTACACACCCCCATTGCTCAAGTGACATCTGGAAATTGACATAGAAAGACTGATGATATAGTCCAAGCTTCTGATAGGTCGCAGAAAAAAAGTCAAATTTTGCGGGATTTTCAGAGACAAATTTGCAGAAAAAATAGCCGATTTTGTGGTAAATTCACGGAAATTTTCAGCACAAATTTCACGAAAAAATGATAGGTAAAAAATGGTGGATTTTGTGGGAGCACTGAAAAGTGATTGGTTTAGCACTGATTTGACAAACATTTTTAATTTAAAAAGACGGCAATTTTACCATTTTTTTTGGAAAATGATGAGTGTCAGCCTATGTAAGAACAATGGCCAATGGCAAAGATTTTTTACATCAAGGCCACAGTGAATGCCCAATTTTTCGCAACATTAATCTAAGAACGCATGGTAGTTTTGGGATGTTGTTTACTCATTGTGTTGACGATGTTTCACTATAAATTTGCAAGTTTAGGCTAAGTAAACAGCCCAAGCATGCAAGATAAGTTATAAGTATGTTGTACTGACATTTATTTGGTACGATTTCTAGTGAATTTAGCGGTATTTTGCAGTGTTTCTACCAGAGCGTGCCATTGCGGGAATCCCGCATTACAATCAGAGATGGCCCCCAGAAAAACGAAAAAGGGCCAANGTACCATCTTAGAAATTATACAGGTGACTGTAACAACAATAATTTCATCTTGGAGTTAAAGTATATGTTTCACAAGGTATAATCATACTAGGTCTTGAGTGGTGTACCGTAGTATTCCAATTTAGTGCTCTGTCTGGCCTCTCAGTAAGAGCTCCCTTCCTAGAAAGTGCCCCGTTGAGTGTGTAGTTTTTAAATGAGCACCTCTATTCCTAAAAGCACTCGCTGCCATTATGCACCCCCACTGCTCAAGTGACATCTGGAAATTGACATAGAAAGACTGATTATATAGTCCAAGCTTCTGATAGGTCGCAGAAAAAAAGTCAAATTTTGCGGGATTTTCAGAGACAAATTCGCAGGAAAAATAGCCGATTTTGTGGTAAATTCACGGAAATTTTCAGCGCAAATTTCACTGAAAAACAATAGGTAAAAAATGGTGGATTTTGTGGGAACACTGAAAAGCAATTGGTGTAGCACTGATTTGACAAACATTTTTGATTTAAAAGGATGGCAATTTTACCTTTTTTTTTGGAAAATGATTAGTGTCAACCTATGCAAGAACAATGGCCAATGGCAAAGCTTTTTTACATCAAGGCCACAGTGAGTTCCTAATTTTTCGCAACATTAATCTAAGAACGCATGGTAGTTTTGGGATGTTGTTTACTCATTGTGTTGACGACGTTTCACTGTAAATTTGCAAGTTTAGGCTAAGTAAACAGCCCAAGCAGCCAAGATAAGTTTCAAGTATGTTGTACTGACATGTATTTGGTACGATTTCTAGTGGATTTAGCGGTATTTTGCGTGTTTTTATGAATTTCGCGGGATTTCGCGGATTAACTTGAAATTTGCAGCTCTGCAAAAGCGGGGAATATCAGAAGCCCTGTTTCATGCCTGGTCATCTGAACATAGTATTGAAATATGAGTTTAACTTGTAAGGTATTGGATTTGACCAATAGCGGTATAATTTTTGAGTAGGTTAATCATTGACTCGCTCTTGGCTCTGGTTGTTCGAGGGCTGGATAACGCTATCCACCAGATAAATCGCTATCTGGCAGATAAGTGTGGACAAAACAAACCACGCTATCCACTGGATAATGATTTATTCAGTGGATAGTGTTGACCNTACCCTGATGCATTTTTTCCTTCTGTAGCTTTCAGTTTATTGGCCCCTTTCCTAAAAAATTGGCCCCTAAGAAAGATCTTCAGGGGGCCACTTTGGCCCTCAAGTAAAATTTTCTTGCTGAAACACTGGTTTTGCTTGTTTTTATGAATTTCGTGGGATTTCGCGGATTAACTTGAAATTCACAGCTCTGCAAAAGCAGGGAATATCAGAAACCCTGTTTCATGCCTGGTCATCTGAACATAGTATTGAAATATGAGTTTAACTTGGAAGGTATTGGATTTGACTAATAGCAGTGTAATTTTTGAGTAGGTTAATCATTGACTTGCTCCTGGCTCCGGTTGTTCGAGGGCTGGATAACGCTATCCACCAGATAAATCGCTATCTGGCAGATAAGTGTGGACAAAACAAACCACGCTATCCACTGGATAATGATTTATTCAGTGGATAGTGTTGACCAACTTTCGAACAACTGGGGCCTGGACATTAATGCTTGATCACACGATGGCTCATCAGTTCTATTCAGGCAGCATTCTAGCTTAGTATATATTTACCCCCTCATGCACCTCGTCGGCCACATTGTTTCAGGGTGTGGGTTCAATTGCCCC